ACTACAATACCACTATAATGCAAAAGATTAAATTGACACATTCTGGAACTCTCATGTTATATCCATTATTATTCAAGTTTCATTTCTCTTTGTGGTATTTTTTTTAAAGCATGTCTATTACCAAGGCAACTCAATGCCAACAATGATTATTTTGTGTTGGAAATGAGGAACATTTAGAAACACTTATGCTGAAACAGCAACACATTTGAAAGCAAACACAAGACATTTAGCACAATGGCCAATGAGCGATCCTTCCACACTCAAATGTTACTCTTTTGCAAGATTCCTGTAATCACAATGGTTAACCAACATGCACTTTGTATAGTGGAAACTAGGGAATGTCAAAAAATTTTTGGCTTTAACAGTATTTTCTTTGAACTATCTTAAACTTTGATCACATTTCCCATATCCATTTGCTACAAATTAAAACTGTTTAGAAAACGACAACAAACTACATGTATAAATCTAAGCTAGTCTAAAGAAAGAGTGAAGTAATGTAAACAATAACCATTTAAATAAGGCATTTTACTACTTTTATTGGGGTTTTGTAAAATTACACAACGCCTATAGTTGAAAACGCTACAATAAATTCATACAATTCAAATAAAATAAAATAAATAATAACAATTTGTAGTACTTTATTTTCCAGTTCTGTTATACATGTATACTATATTAACTGAAAAATGGGTAATGACTAAAGGTACTAACCCTGAACCTATTCCTAAACCTAACCTTACCCCATGTTAAGTCCATGTAATTAGCCTCTATACACTGTATAACCGAAGTCAAATTTATTTAATGAAATGGGTTAATTTCACTCATATATTAATATTATATTAATGTGACTATATTAAGCAGAACTTAATCTGAATGAGTTACCACAGATTTCTAGTTCCCAGCATGCTTTGCTTCAGACTCTGTATGGAGAGTAAATGTTGAAATTAAATGATATTTTATGTATATTAATATAATGGGGAGATCTGTTAAGTGTTTATTGTTGAAATGTTGGGATTTAAATGGATTTCAGGGTAGAGTGGGGGAAAACGCCCCCTTAAGGACTGTGTAATTTTTCTGTGAAACAAAAGTAATCAGTTATCCGTTTTCAGTGACAATGACACAAATTATAAACCAAGTATGAAAAATGGCAAGAGTTTATTTTATTAGATTTGTACCAAGGGGGCGTTTTGCCGCAGAGGTAAATGCCCCCACTTTGACGAAGCATTTTTCTGTATACATTTACAGCAAAATCAGAGTACAAGCAGTTTTCGCTTAAAATTAAAAAGACAAGCTAAAATAAGAGTAGATAAATATGAATATTTGTTAATGAACCATGCTGAAATCAGCCTGTTTGAAAAATATTGTTAGCTGATGCTAACTGGCTAGCTTACTTGATGCTAACTTGAGGTCCATAACAACAACAAAAACGTATCTTAACTTTATCTTGTTGCATTGGAAAAAAAACAGTTTTCCCCACTCTACCCCATGCTTGAGGTTACCATTGTGCTGAAGAGAAGAGCCTGATGTTGTTAAGTCGATGATGGGCATAATAAGACCTGTATATATGTATGCTCCTTTGTTTAAAAGTAGTGATGGTACTTGCTGATGCAGTGACAGCCTCTTGTTGTGGTTGTAACAGCACACGTGTGCTTTAGCCTGCTAAGAAGCTAGCTATAGCTAACAGGTAAATAAGATAAGAGAAAAGAGTCAGTGTTATTAAATTAAATGGTTTAAATAAAAAATGGTGACATTTACAGTTAAATATTAGCAGCTGTGGTTGCCAGAACTTCACCGTACAAAATATGAAAGCAACATTTTAGGTTTTACATAAATTAAATTCACAATAAACAAAATGATGTAATGTTAATATACCAAAAGTACTAATACTAAAGAACTAATATCTGTTTTGAACTATTGTAATACATGCACTGATAACCACCAAAAGCAGGTGGTGATGAGAAAGTCACATGATGAATTAAAGCTCATCACAAGCAACTCTTCCACAAGCTGAGAAGGGAAATACTTATATAAAGAAGGTGCACAGTGCCATTCACACAAATGCTAAACACCATCATGGTAAAACACACGATACTGAAGAAGAAAACTGAGACAACTGAGAAGAAAAAACTTTTTCAACAACAAAACATCAAATATGAAGTGTCATGCAGGAAATCTGGGAGTGTCAGTTTACGGGTTTTCACTGTATATTATACAATGACTTTTCCTTTTTCACTTCCAAAAAATGTTAACATTATTTTTTACTGTAAATTACATTAAATGTAATTAGCCTATATTCACCGTATACAGTAAGGAAACTTATTGTTAAACAATTAACAGGTTTTTACTGTAGCATTTTTACAGTCTTTTACTGTTAAAATCACTATAATTTTTTTACAGTGTAGAGACAGCCGATCAAACGATTATCGGCCAATAGCGATTGGTAGCCGATCGATCGGAGAACCCTACTTTCTAGGGTAAAGTACACTGTGAACATATTGTAAAACAAAGTGCAACCAAAAAACAATGAACATATTTAGATGTAACAAAAATGAATTCTAGTCGACTGAAATGAGATGCATAGAATCAGAAGACATCAGAAGATCATTCATCAGTCTTTAATCACTATTAAGACTAATGTGAAGTCTTCACTCCAGTGATTCTCAGGGGGAAGCTGGAACAAAATATATATATATATTAATAAATGTAATATGTTTGGATCACCTTAGACAATTGCTGATAGCAGATGTAAATGGCCTGTTTTTTTTAACTGTAATATGATGACAGTTATGATCATCACATATGAGGACACATATGATCAATCATACCTCAGATCTTAAATCATTAATTGAATACAGAATATTGTGAGTGCATTACCAAGTAGGCTAGAAGAAAATATGGATTTTATCTGCCAGGATTTTAGTCGTTTTTTTCTGGCCCACATTCCATCAAATGATTCGTGCCGTTGCTATAATCTGTAAAATCAGTAATACTATGAAAATAATGCATAGTGTAAAACTAAGATTGTACCACACCATGTGTGTTTGTGCATACGTAACTTGACTATACTCACACAAGTATAACAAGTCACCATTAACCAGCAGTGACAGAAAGAAGAACCTGGACACTGATAACATCACTCCTCCTCCTGCTGCTGGATCTGTTACCTACAAAATACACATTAAACATGGACAAAGAGACACGTGGAACACAAATCAGCACAATGCATAAGCATTCAGGAAGGAAATATAATTTTCATTTTGGCATGATAAAACCTCTGCTTCAGATGAATTTACTAATTCACTGCAGAGGATCTATTGATGAGCTAATAATGCAAGGCTAAATTTCTTTAAATCTGTTCCAATGAAGAAACAAACTCATCTGCTTCTTGGATAAATTCTCAGCAAATTACATTTTTGGTTGCATTTTTTCCTTTAAAATATAAGATGACAGAAGCCTAAAAATAACAATATCCTGAACAAAACTGTACAGAGGAATAAGTGTATCATAATCTGACATACTGGATTATACACAAAATGAAACAGATTGAAATTTCAGCCACTTAAGACAAGAACAAATGAAAAATCACGTACATTCATATGTAGCCTCCAGCCTCTCTTTGGAAAGTGGTGCAGTATTACCGTAAATATATTCAGTCATCTTGTGTTTGGCCATGATCGTTAGACAGAAGTGAGGAATTAAAGCAAAGATGGCAGGTGTAGAAGTGCTTTGATTTCAGATGCTGCACTGTCAAACACACTGTTAACATGCATCACTTCCTGTTAGAAACCAGTGAGCAGATGACAGTGGGACTATTCACATATTTTGTCAGTAGTTAGATGTTAATGTGTCTTGAAAATAATATTTTAATACCATCTATAAACATATATGTGCATCTAATTTCTTGTCTAAATCTGTCAATTCAGCTGAGAACCCGCTAAGCTAAGTATCACCATTTCCTGCTCCGGGTCTGAAAACCCCTTCATTCAACAGTCACATACACGAGCTTCACCTGCAGAACTGAGCAGTGACAGTCAAAAAGACATTTACCAGTCACATGCAGTTAATAAGCACATTTAAAAGAATCCAAAAGTAATAGTAAATACATGTCCTTGTAACAATATTTGCACATCATAAAGCATGTTTAGTAGCGTGACAGTAAATGTTACATTTATAATGTTCAAAGTGCAGTTAATAAGCACATTTAAAAGAATCCAAAAGTAATAGTAAATACATGTCCTTGTAACAATATTTGCACATCATAAAGCATGTTTAGTAGCGTGACAGTAAATGTTACATTTATAATGTTCAAAGAGATTTCCATTTCAAATAAATGCTGTTCTTTTGAGCTTTCTATTCATCAAAGAAACAAAATAAATATCATGGTTTCCACAAATTTTTTAAGCAGTATAACTGTTTTCAACATTGATAGTAAGAAATGTTTCTTGAGCAGCAAATCTGCATATTAGAATAATTTCTGAAGGATCTTGTGACATTAAAGACTAAAGTAATGATGCTGAAAATTCAGCTTTGCATCACAGGAATACATTACACAGCCTCAAAGAAACTTTTAAAACAAAGTACACACTCCAAACTTTTGAACTGAAGTGTGTTGCAGAATTTGAAATAAACCAGGCAGTCTGATTCTAGGGTCTATAATTAATACATCTACTATACAAAACTGTAATATTGGATGTTTCATTGCTGATTGCTGTAGTCGTGGGGATTAACAGAGCAAAGCATGTTGTTAACCTCATTGAGGTTTGACTAATCTTGGTGGTGGCTAAACTTAAAATTTCCTACACCAAGAACTAACAGCATGTGTAGAGGAAATAGCAACATTATAGAAACAAGTTTGAATTTGTCATGATCAACCACATGTGAAAATGTCAGACAAAATGACAAAACCCAACCGTTCACAGCAGCTTCGACTTTTTATTTAGCACAAAAAATTTTTTTTAAATTAATACGTTGACTTTCACTCCATCATAAAAACCTAAAGACCCGTTTTCAGTTGCTTCCATTGTATTTTCCACAACCCATTTCCTCAAATTACCCATACTGCTTTCAAGAAAACCACAACTTTAAATAGATACTGCCAGTTCCTCATAAAACTGTACTGGAAAAACCTAAAGACCCGTTTTCAGTTGCTTCCATTGTATTTTCCACAACCCATTTCCTCAAATGACCCATACTGCTTTCAAGAAAACCACAACTTTAAATAGATACTGCCAGTTCCTCATAAAACTGTACTGATTTGGTATGTAAATCCTCTTCCATTTGTTGGACAGATGAAGTCCCTTGATAAATAAGAGATACAATACAATCAGGATCTTCTCCGATCCTTATAGAGCTGTACAACTTTATGATCAGGCAAAATCTATCATCCACGACACAAAACACCACATTTCATTCTTAACTCTGTGTTTCCGCTCCCCAACCCACCCCAATCAAAACCGTTTCCAACATTATTGCTAATTTATGATGATCCCCCTCCCTAATCTGCCAGGTGTACATTGTAGTTCCAACAACTGTCAACTTGTGGATCTTATAGGGTATTTCTCTTGTTCCTTGTTCATGGAAAGTATAGTGCTCTCTGCTGGCAATACAGTGAAAGGGGATCTGCTTTCAAGAAAACCACAACTTTAAATAGATACTGCCAGTTCCTCATAAAACTGTACTGATTTGGTATGTAAATCCTCTTCCATTTGTTGGACAGATGAAGTCCCTTGATAAATAAGAGATACAATACAATCAGGATCTTCTCCGATCCTTATAGAGCTGTACAACTTTATGATCAGGCAAAATCTATCATCCACGACACAAAACACCACATTTCATTCTTAACTCTGTGTTTCAGCTCCCCAACCCACCCCAATCAAAACCGTTTCCAACATTATTGCTAATTTATGATGATCCCCCTCTTTAATCTGCCAGGTGTACATTGTAGTTCCAACAACTGTCAACTGGTGGATCTTATAGGGTATTTCTCTTGTTCCTTGTTCATGGAAAGTATAGTGCTCTCTGTTGGCAATACAGTGAAAGGGGATCACAGGCAGTTAAGAGACAAATAAGCAATAAACTGATTAGAGGACAGATTAAAAGCAATGACAAAGCAAAAGCAGGACAAAAACATCTCGTTCGCCAGGTACCGCACCCATCAGTTGGTCAAATTTTGTCAAAAGGAAGTAGAGACACTGTTTCCATGGCAACAGTTTAAGATGTGCGAAGAAGAGAATGACCACAGGAAAATCATTGACAGCAGCCCTTGTCATGTCCACTTGGGATTTTTATTATCTCATTAGCCGTTTTTTTTTTCTCTAGGAATTTTCATGCGTCTTTGATTGTTGTCTGGTCTTTTCTAAAACACTGAAGAAATAAACATTTTCATCCATTTTGCAAAAAGCACCTCTCATTGGATAGGGAGAGTAAAATCATGTTATACCGAATTAGTTGAATCTACCGATGCGAATAGCGCAACACTTATGCATCAGGGTTCATCATGAGCTTGTCAAGTTTTTTTGTGTGTGTGTGTACTGTTGTTAACAATCATAACAGATTAAGGTTCCTCATCTCTGATGATGGTAATTACAATGGCTTTAGGTCCATGCGCAGAGAGAGAATAAGAAGTGTGGGAAATAGAAAGAAAGCGAGAGAGAAAGAGAGAGAGAGAGAAATAAGTAGTGCAGGTCCAAAAGGTCAAAGTTGAAACTTAAAAATGGGCGGTGAATTCTCCTTCCTGAAGCAGGAAGTCCATTGGTAGCATCTGTCAGGTGGTCAGTGCGTGATGTCATAAATCAGCCTCGCTGTCATGCGAGACATAGATTATGGATGGTGGAATAGGTCACTGTAGAACCAAACCCACCTAAAAAGATTATAGTAATTATTATTATAGCAGCTCAGTAAACAGTATATTGAACTTCAAGGATTTTTACACATTGAATTAAAATAAAGAAATAAAATGCTCAATAAATTATTAAATAAAAAATAAAAATAATTACAATGGAAAACCATACAAAGTGACACCTAGGTGCTTTGGGAGCCAGATTGTGAAGCACTATGGCCACCTAGTGTATATGAACGTAGCAATGTCAATGCTAACTTAAGAGTACAAGCCAATGAATTTCACTTGACTCTGACTGAAAAGGACAATCATGTGTATGACATCTGAAAACCTGTACCTTTTCTGAACCCATGCTGGGACATTTCCAATTGTAGAGGTAATACTGCAGGTTTCCATCTCCAATGCCAAACTTGAGCTTCTCCAAAAATGTCTTGTTCTCCATTAGGTCCAGTGCATTAAAGACATCAAATCCTTTCTGAAGGGGGAATGGCACAAGAAAAGCTTTAATAAATTTGCTGCTCATAGTTTAATGTTCCAATTCCTGCCCGTTAACCACTTCAAACTGATGTTAGTCAGGTGTTAGTCTAAATAAACGCAGGTTTGCTTCACTGCTAGAATAACATTAATTCATTTTTGAAAGGCTTTTCCAAATGAGGAAAACTGTAGTTCACTTCTAGGGATAAATTTACACCAAAACTATAGCTAAGTAAACTCATATTATGGCTAATTAATCAATTCAATTGATAATGAAAATCAACAACTTTCACTGACTGACCGCCTTGGCAAGGATAAGAG